TCTGTCAAGACGGCCAAACATTTCCATCTTTGTTTGACATGGTCAACTACCACGGGCACAGTCACTCAGGCCCCATTGTGAAATCCGAATAATTAAAGGATTTAGCCAATCAATCTCCCAGCACAATTTCCTCCATCCTGGCTTGAGCCCAATGGGGTCTAAGGGCAGCCTGTGGAGGTGAAGGTCACAGGCCTATGGGACGTGTTCAGGAAGTAGCAGCACACAGCGCAGCCTGTAATGAATATCATGGGCGTCAGAATAAACACAACACCACCAGTCACAGCTCAAATCACACTCTCTAGAATATTCTGCATTCCCATCTAACACTGCACACTCAGTTACTTCAGTACAGAGTACAGAGCTGCTTGCTTGTCTGTACAATACATCTAACTGGAAACTGTATTGTATGAATGGATAAGCAATAACCGACAACAAGCATTTATATGGTATTAGAAAAAGGCTGTCATTGAGGCTATTTTTTAGCGCAGAAACAACATGAAAGTTATTAGTCGAGGTACATAGTACGACATTGATGTTTCTGCTGGTGAATAACATGGTCATTGAACGATGGAGACCCCGAACAAAGGCTGCATGTCAGACCTGGGAAAAGACATCAATCCTCTGAGTGTTTGAAACACACACAGACACACATATTCCATTTATTTTCCTTAATCACCGATCAGCCCTCCTGTCAAGTGGTTTGAGCCACGCTCAGAGAAAATACTCAAGTCAGTCAGTGAGATCTTAAGCACAATGTGTCTCTCTGTACCTCGCCACGGGCTGTGAAGACAGAAGTGAAACAAAATGAATCAGTCAGATGTCAATTAAGCATGAAATAATACTCGCGGTGCACTGTGGGATAGTTTTTTCCATACAAAATCAGGATGTCACATGAGGTGAAATTATGGGAAGTCAGGTTCTGTCCTCCAGTTTTCCAACATGGGTTTGAAAGAGGAGCTCTGTCTTCTGAGATTACGTGGCCACCTGTGTGTTCTGTCGTCTATCAAAGGAAAAGAGCCAGAAGAGAAAGAAAACCCCAAAACACAAAACTATTTATTGAGACAAATTCAGAGCAGGAAGGGAAATATTTGGTTAGCTCGGCGGCGAACGGTCGGCGGTGTTGGAGCAGTCCACGGTTGAAGTGGGGGGGAACAGCCGGCCCTTTGTTTGTGGAGAGAATGGTGCACTCCGTGGGGTCACTGCTGGAGGCCCAACATCACAGACACGAGGACACACACACACACACACACACATTGTACCTCTCTCACACACATGCATGCATGCACACACATACATGTTTGCCTGCACATGCATGCACACTCACACAGAAACCATAACATTCCTCCGCTTCTATGAATGTTTTATTAACCATGTGAATGGGTCACAGAGTTACACCCCCCTGGCATAACTATAGTCTCTAGTCACACACACAAAACTGCTCCAGCTCCTTCTTACACTGACACAACTACCGACGGAGCGGAGTGGACGACATTGACATGGTGAGATTCCTGGTCTTTTATAACCCTCCAACCTGTGTCTTCTTGTTAGGTCACCATGTCTGAATCTGACCAAAAACCATGAATCTCCGGGTGTAGACAGTCTGTGTTTTACTGGACACTGGTGGTATCCTGCAGACGCAGGGCATTCTTTGCCACAAATGACAATTGAAGGATGAGATGTTGCTATAGATATTTTAAATCAATTTTTTCAATGGTGCGAGCACCACAGACATGTTTGCTTTATGCTTTATTATATTTTTTATATCGAGGAGGAAGAGTGCGATTTTTAGATTTCCAGGTCCCAGAACCTGGACAAATCAAATCAAAATTACTTGGAGGAACCAGGCAAGCTCTCCCCCCTTGTTTCCAGTTGTTATGCTAAGCTAAAATAATTGCCATGTTGGCTTTAGCTTCATATTTAGCATATAGATATGAGAATTATATCAATCTTCTCATATAACTCTCACCAAGAAGGTGAACATGTCCCATAATGTTTCTTTCATAATTTGGGGCGACCTGATATTTTTATGAAATGTATCCAAGACAGAGAAAACTAAAACAATGCAGTGATTGTGGCAGCATTTTTTGCCTGGGTATTTTTATGTGCATAACAGGGTCATAAAAGTTTTAAAACGGCCTTTAAACTGACATTGTCGTTTTCCGCTTGAGTCTCTTCAATCCTGAGTTACCTCTTGTACATTAGAGTATGATCTGTTGTTTTGCCCATAAAATATTCCTGTGCCACACAGTCCCTTACAGCAGCTGTAAACATCCTGGAAGATACACAACATGAGAACATTTGGCTCAAACTACCCCCTCTATATTTTTATGAGCACAAGACATTTCCAGTCAGTCCGTCCCCCATACGTGCACAGCACTGTTCTTTTTGGACAAAGTCCGACAATATCAGTCACTAGAGAAAGACTGGCCAATAGTCAATCCATACCAAATCCCCTGAGCCCACACACAAACATCTATCAGACCCCCACTGCTGAGCTCTGGAACCAGAAAGTCTCACCCAATACCATGCAAAGGTGTTAAACTAGGAGCATTTCCAGAACCAACCATCAGTCCTTGCACCACACACAGACAGACACACATGAGCATGTTAATTCCTCCCACTCCTCCATACCCCCACAGAGCAGAACTCAACTCCTGTTTGTTTTGGATGGTCCTACGAGGGGACCTCCATGTCGAACAAACTACAACACAGCCCGAGTAGTTTGGTGCAGACTTCACAGTGCAGTGCTGCAAGCAGAGATCAATGGGCAGTAGCTGCTCACGTCACCAATGTTACAGCTATGCAACAATCTCCACTGCATCCAGCTGCTAACATCTGCTTCATGTCTCTTTCAGCTGCACTGATGCATGCTGTGTATGGTGGCTGCAGTTTCAGTTGTCCTTTTAATGTGATTTTAGATTCTAAACATCACACTTTTGCATGCCCACACTTGGCCTGAAAGTGTCTGTTATGCATCTGATGTGGCTGTGTTAATAAAAATCAAAATGTGTGGGATTCTGGTCTCAATATGAGACTGACTGCTTCCACGTGTGGCTTTTGAGGATCCAATAGCAACATAAGCAAAAACCCATTTTGGGTGCTACGACTTGTCGCTGAATACACCCGGGCTTCAGACAGAAACATTAAAGTCATGCTGAAAGGACACGAGTAACCGTAGCGTTAAATCATTCGCCTGGTTGCGATCTCTTTACCAGCGGTTTCTCTGTCCCGCTGATCCTGCTGTTTTAAAAGAAAATCGTATTATATCTAATCACAGCGATGCTGCTGTCCTGGCTGTCGTGATGGAGAGAGGAGTATTATTGTAGATAATGCCCAACATTAATCTCACACTGCCCTACATATTCAGGTCAGAGGTCAAAGCCATTTCATGTTGTCTTCCTCACGCTTGGAATTGTATTGGACTGTGTCCTCCCCTGGACTATTTATTATGACCCTAATGTCCTGGTCTCAGATATCACTTTAACTCTCTCTCTCCCTCTCACCCTGCTAACACATATGTTGGGTCTGTTCACAACGTATATCAATACATTTTGTTGAATCGATAATGGCCGGTGTATGTGCAAAACAAAGATCTCCTTGTTTTTCTCCATGCGCTACTTCAGAGAAAGAGATACTCCCATGTTGTCAAAATGACAAGGGGTTTTTAAAGGCTTGTTAATAACAGAGATTGACAGCTCACTGTTGGGCAATTATTGCTTGGTTTTCAAATGTTATTACTTCCAAAGAAACGACAGTATATCTTTCAACATCTGTTTGTGTAGCCAGGGGTTTTGTTTTAGAGGGTGGTCATCCTCAAATGACACTCTAAATTCTCACAGTGTTTTTCAAAGATGACAATTAACCAATCAAAAATAAGTATTGCATGTATTCAAACAAATAACCACAACAATTAATCATATTTTGTTTTTCAGCAGAGTATAACTCAACATGGTATGGGAAAAGGAGAGACACCCATGTTTGTGTGCTGTGACAAAACCACAGAGCGGGCCACTTGAGCCAACTCCTTCATAATGCTCCTTTGCTATCTCACACACACACACACACACACACACACACACACACACTTTCAAACACATCTCCAGAATAGTCCAGATTTAAGACCTGTCGCTGGTGTGGAACATAGTGAAAAGGAGTATCCTGCGAGGCCCTTGGGGGCCAGAAAAGTACTATGTGGCGCTGTATATGTGCTTGTGCATGTGTGCGTGTGAGGGTGTGTGTTATGGCTGAAAGTGACCCGAGAGGCCCAGCTAGTTACAGCCTCTCTGCTGGAGACCACCACTTCCACAAAACGAGCATTGTTGGTACAGAGCTCCAGACACCAGAGACACACACTGGAAACAACTTGTATGTACACACACGTACAAAAAATACTTACACACCACAAGAAAATGAAATGTGCCGAGTTTAAAAGAGGCAATAAACTGAATAAAATCACAGTAAGTCCCACAGAAGAGTCTCATCTCACAGCTACACTCCAGCCTTTCGATACAAAACTCACACAACACTTTCAAATGTGGATCACTGTCGCTAACAATAGCCCTTGGGTGGTTGGTCAGACTATTATTGTAGGTGTTTCTATGCAAATTATGTGTGACTGAGAGCATGTCAAAAGCAGTTACTGGAAATAATGTGGTGAGCTGGACATTGTGAGGCAGAACTACTTTGCCTGCAAAGAAAAAAAGCGTGTTGAGATTTGTCTGACCAGTGCTAAACTGAAACACTGTGCCAAAGCCACTGGATCAATGTTATTAGTCCGCCAATACACAATATCAGGAAGACATCATTATTGCCATCAACAACATCATCATCATCAAAGAGAGAAGGAGGGGGGGTCAGCATCATGACCTCCACTTCTGGCTGCGCGCTCTACAGAGACCTCGTTGGCTGACAGCAGTATACGTCAGCACCTCTCACCGCTCCAGTATAACCCCCTCAAGCCTCTGGCGGTCACACAGACGCAAGTGTAAAAGTATCAGCAACTGTTGCCCGGACTAACCCATTCAGCATCCACGTCCCACACAGCCTGACACAGAGGAGTGAGACGGCTCACTGAGCGCGACGCGGAAAAGTGAGAGGAGAGGTGGAACATTCACGCACAGCCTTTTTAGTCTGGATTGTTTTGGCGCCTCTTTAAACTCCACCTTGGATCGTTTCGGACATTTGTCTGCACCGTTTTTCCTCGTGGATTTTGATTTTGTATTTATTTCAGCACTTAATTAAATGGCAGCTCGGAGTATGATTCCCTCGCACCTGCTCCTGCTGATGTTTAACTATGTCCTGGGTGCTGCATCAGTTAGGATCATCAAAGGGGGCTCTGGAAGCGCACGGGACAGCTTCATCCAGCCCTCATCGGACCCTTTCTCAGATGACCTGGACCAGGACATGGTCTCCCAGCACATGTCAAAACTGTACGAGAAATACAACAGGGGAAACCGCCTCAGAGAGGGAAACACTGTGAGGAGTTTCAGAACCAGCCAAGGTGTGTGAAGACATTGATAAACCTGCCTTCAGAGCGCAATTGATAGGTATCGCAACACTTTATGTTCATTCTGGAACAAAAAAGCCTATGCCATTAGTGCACTAATCCTACGCAAAAAGCGAAAAATAAATGCAGTATTCAGAAAGCTCCCCTGATCCTCTCAATTGATGGTTACTAAACGTGCTCAGTGGGGCTGCCCGGCCAGACGCTCTAAATAGGTAGGCTTGTTTTGGAACAGTCTGAGAATGCATTGAAATGATTTTGGGACGCTGTGGGCACACTGTGTTAGTGGCATGCAGCTGTGCCCTTCTTTGCGGAGTCTGGTCAATTACCGCAGAGAGACGCGCAATATGCGCAGGAATGCATGCGATTCCCTGCGAGCAATGCCAAGCGTCTATACAGTGAAACCCTCAGCGGCAGTTACGCGCTGCAAAGGGTCATTGTCGTGGCTTCTGCGTTCCTGTTGTGGCTACAGGACATGTATGACTCCAGGTCATGGAGTCAGGGGGCTTAAAGCACAGTCGCTCCTGTCTGTCTGATGCTGTTTTTATAAACACAACTCATAGACATTTATATCCCACATAGTTCTCGGATGGCATACCATAACACGTGTGTATTTTTACTGCAGTGACTGAATGTAATCCAAGGAGGGATGTAAGAGAGTTTTCACAACAATGTTCGATCTGTTAAAACAGTTGATTATGTCTTGGTGTCTGGGCAGACAGTGCTGGCTGTATTAGGCTTAAGGGGAAGCTTTAAGAGAAACTGAGGTAAGCATTTCCATATGCAGGCTGAATCCGAGGTAATGTATATCTCTTGAGTCAGTCCCTACTTCCGCTGGACTCTTATACAATGAACAATAACTCTGCTGTTGAAGTTAATGTTCATCATGAATATGTAGCTCTCTGCTCGCCCCCTCCACCCCTGCCAGCCAGATCCTCAGAGTCTGGTTCCTCTTAAGGGCACGTTCGGTACCAAGGCAGGCAGCCGCCTACCAGCCACACAGCTCAGTCATGTAGCACATGCAAATGTGTTTAATAGTCCCACCTCTCAAGCAAGCAGGACTGCTTTTAGTGAAATTTGATACCAAATTGCATGGTCGTTCCTTTTTCAGTCATTTCTTCATCTTACATTACTGTTAAATAATCGTGAAAACTTGAAAAATCAAATAAGGTTCAATTCCTGGTTACTATCATCTCATAATACCAAATATATCAGTATGGATCTGTCAGCTCAACAGCAAAAGGCCAGTGGGACATATAAATCTAATTTTGGCTCTTTTATCCTCTTAGAACATAAAAGCACCTGTGAGCGAGAAAACTGTTTCTGTGAATGAAATCCTTTAGAATACAACATTCTGTGGATAAAAATAAGTTTTCACTTGTCAGGTTGTTCACCTGACTGACTGCCACTGACTGACTGATTGTTTTCAGACTCCTCTGAGGACAGGACGACGTACCAACTGAACCTTACAACCCTCCAGGACTCAGAGGTCATCCTCTCTGCCACATTCCACTTCCTGCTCGATCGGCGCCCTCATCAAAAACCCTGGTTCTGTAAACGCTTCAAAAGCCCTTCCTGTCGTTCCTCAGCCGTCCACCCTTCTCCGTCCATCAGCCTGCTCCTTCGCTCTGTATCCTCTGGGTCAGAGGTCAGATCTGGGTCAATGGGGTCACTTCTAGGCAATGTGACCTTCCACCCCCACAGGAGAGGGGTGTGGCAGATGAAAGATGTGACCCAGGTCATAAAGGAGGCCAGGGACAAGGGTCAACTCCTGGTGTCAGTGGAGTTGGACTACCAGAGGAAACCAGAGGGGGCGCTGCATGGTGGGAGCCTGCCATATCTGTTACTGTATGCTAATGACCAAGCCTTGGCAGAGCCCAACAGCATGGCTGCAAGCCTTCAGAGATATGACCCGTTCAGCGACGGAGGAGAGCCCTCACGTTCCTCTCACAGACCTAACTCCTCACCAGAGTCAAACGGACGAGAGAGAAGGGAAGCAGCTCTGCTCTCTGAGCCCATCCAGAACAATGAGCTGCCAGAGGTTGACTACAGGCCTGATGGGTACAGTAAGGATGACCTCTGGGAGAGCACTTGGTACCTGGCACTCAAACCTAAATCAGGAAGGAAGGAAAAGAAGAGAAAGAGCCAGGAGGATGAAGAAGTGGATCAAGGTAGAGGAACCAGTGTTAAAGAAGACCCTCTGGTTCTCAAAGAAGGAGAAAGAAAATCACAGGTGCTCAAAGCTGATGACTCAGCCGAGAAAAAAATCAAAGACAGTCGCATGCCGACTACCAGTGACGGACGAAAGCATGAGTGGAGAAACGAGGGGAAGGATGGAAAAAGGCACAACGCGAGCGCTAACTCTCAGTCACCTGTTCTGAGTTTTGATGAACAAACGATGCGTAAGGCCAGAAGGAGGCAGTGGGGCGACTCCCAGCACAGAGGCTGCTCCAGGAGGAACCTCAGAGTGGATTTTGCAGACATTGGCTGGAGCGAGTGGGTTATAGCCCCCAAGGCCTTTGATGCCTACTACTGCACTGGCACATGTGGCTTCCCCATGCCCAAGGTAGGAGCGCAAACATCTAAGTCATTCCACAACAGCATGACCAAGTTATATTGAGGAACTAAAGTGTGTTGTTCTTCTGCCATTTATTGATTTTCTCCTGTGCATGCCTCTCCCCTACCACTCAAACTCTCCCAGGTGGCGAGGCCGTCTAACCACGCCACCATCCAGAGTATAGTCCGTGCCGTTGGGATCATCCCCGGAGTTCCTGAGCCCTGCTGCGTCCCAGAAAAGATGAGTCCTCTGGCTGTGCTCTACCAAGATGAATCCAGGAATCCAGTGCTTAAGGTTTACCCCAATATGTCCGTCCAGTCCTGCTCCTGCAGATAGGAAGGGTGTGGTCAATGGTGGCAGAGGACAAAACAGGGTTCACGTGGAGAGAAACAGAACACAGGACTAAGGGAGACAGAACCATACCTCTGTTTTTTAAGTGGTTTCTTGATTCTGACAAACAAAGTCACTTTGGCTGCCATTATTCCTCGAGGAACATAGACTGTAGAGAAATCACTTCCATCTCTTCTGCCCTGCGGCAGCAGACTTGAAGAGGCACATTGTCTGGCGTCTGGCTTAGGAAGAGGAACAGAGACACACGTGTAAAGTCAAGGCTCCACATGTCTAAGAAACTCAGTTGTTTTGATTCTGTGTTTGAGATAATATTGAAGAGTTCATGGACAGGAGCATTTTTCCTTTTATCTCAGAATATACTTGCTTTTCAAACAGCTCACATTGACTTTGTGTTCATGTTTTCTTTGGACACGAAGGCTATAAATAAAAGACTTTATCAATGTGTCATCGGGCAGCTTACTCAGTCTCACACAGATGACAGAGATTATGAAACATATTTCTTCATTTTCGCATACTGTGTGCATCTGTTCTTACTTTTAAACAAACCATACTCCACATTGTACATACATGCAATGCTCATTTGTTTGCAAGAATGGAAGGTCATTGTACATTCTTGCTTTGTATATCTTAAAAAGGGAATATCCAACGGATGGTAGAGAGCATCTGGAATTCATTTACACCCACCAACTCCCGCATAACACTTCAAGAATGTTATAATGAAACCAGAAATATTTTTATATTTTGAATGTGAAACTTAATAATTTGTCATGGTTACTAGGTTATGTATTACTATATTTTAGACGAGGTGTTGTTTTGTACATGTGTATTGTTTAAATTATGAAAAAGGTAGCCTTCTATAAATTAGAATAAAAAAGTAATTTAATCCAATTCTCGTGGTAGAATGTTATTGTTCCATACACTTTGTGTTATTCTTGGTCATTACTGCGTATAACTTTTGATTCTGAGGGGGGGACTTTTTAGTCAAAACAAACCTAAAAGGGCACCACTGTTCCAAAATCACTTTGTACAAAAGCAGGAAGGTTCCACTCAAAGATAGCCAACATTCCCCGAAAGCCCCCTTGAACTCATTTTTACCCCACGCCAAAGGCTCAGACGTCTGTTGTCCAGCAAATAATGTGGCTGATGCAGCTGCTGTGGATTAATGCTTGATGGAGGAAACAGGCACGCACCTATTAGGACGTCAGCCACTTGAACATTAAAACATGGTGCACTTCCCCTTGTCTACCCCTCCATTCAGCAAAACATTTCCAAGTGCAGAACGTTTTTAAACAGATGGTTTCAGGCAGATTCCAACCACATTAAATCAACTGCTCGTCAATTTTATTCTTAAGAGGAAGAAGGTGGCCCATGTGGTGACAAACCGACAGTTAAATGACAGTGTGAGCCTTTTGATTATCATCTCATTACTCTGCGGCTGTTCTGCCTTGAGCCTGAAGAAGTTGGCCCAGAGTACCACATCTGTTTCTAACAACAGAATGCTCTCAAGTTCAAGACTAGACAGTCATTTTGTCTCAAAGAAAGAGACATTTAATAGTGACTTGGGGGGAAAGGAACACAAGATTGAGCCCTTATACAGTTTATTGCAGTCGAGAATAATTCTAGAAGTCTTTTGGCTGTCGTGCATGGAGTCACCTGTTTTCATCTCTAAAGCTAAACTGTGCCACCCCTTCTGTCTGCTTTGCTTTGTCCATTAGATATACAGACACTATAAAAAGTATTCACCCTCTTTAGAAGTTGTTGTGTTTTCTTTTTGGACACTGACCAACAAAAGAAGGCTCTTTAATGTCGAAGTGATCTCTATAAATATGACATTGACTCAATAAAATATGGATTAACTAATTATGTAACTTCGAAAACTAACAAGCTGCACCAGACAGTGATAGTATATGTGTTTTCTTATTAAATGGGTTGTATACCTTTTACAAGAATGTATTTTGTCTTTTATATTTGTAATTAATATAGATCACTTTGTAGAGATCTGTTTTCAGGTTTTTTTCTGTTGATCACTGTCATAAAAGTCACATTAAATCTCATTGGATTCAATGTTGTGTGATAATAAAACATGAAAACTTGCAAGGAGGGTGAACACTTTCTATGTTAAACCAGTGAGTATGAAATGAAAACAGGACATCTTAAAGTGTTCCCATAATCCATATTTGAGGATGATAGAGAGAGAATATATGAAATACTAAATGCCTGATTCCATTTTCTCCATTTTGAACAAGTGGAAAAAAATATTTTTACGAATGAACCCTTGATGGGGTCTAACCTCTGTTTAAATTATGATAACGACTGTAATGAGGGTTATTATAGTGATGTTTAAATTAATAGATGATTTAGCTACAGAGTAGGCCGGGCCCAATTGTAATGAACACATCCAGGTTCATTTTTTTTCCTCATTTCCTGACTGATCCCTTTTACAGTCCGGACCCACAGTCTGCTATTACAAAGTGAACCCCATGTCAACCGCAATCACAGTCACAGGAGAGTGCTTACAATGGTCGATTGCAGCAGAGAAAACCACAGTAGTTTCGGCTCGTGTTCAGAGCCTAACATGCCTTAACCAAACGAGGCAAGTGGGGAACCAAGAACAATATTTGTTTTTCCACTTGATGACCGTTCAATTACAGGAGATCAATACAGCCATTATTAGACAACAGAGGATTTTCTGTATGCAGGGCTGAAATGGCTCTTTCCTCTCATGGTTACTGAGCTAGGAGAACGAATAGTTCTGTTCATTAGGACATAGCTTTAATAGAGTGACACTGTGCCTCTTAATCACCTATTTAGTCATGTGGGCCACTGGGTATTTTATTTAATAATTTTATTTTTCCTTTAGAAAGTAAAAAAAGTACTTTTACCAGTTTCCACATAACCTTTAGAACATTTATTCAGCCAAGAAGTCCATTTTAGTCTGGACACAAATATTATTCGGGCTTAAAATAAATGAGGTTTAAAACTCAATGACAGATTATGAACATGTTTCAGTGTATTTGTTCTCCTATGATTTTTAGAGTGAGTGTTTTTCATGTCTTGTGTAGGTTTCAGTCCCAGTAATAAAACACATCTTCAGTTTGTGGTATGAAGAAACTAGAGGATAAACTCTGTTACTTAAATAAAAGTAGATACCAGCAGTGTGGGCGGGTTTACACCCCTGCTTATACGTTACAGAGTGACTGAACAGGGTCGAGGCTTGACTTTCCCATGAACTTCATGCCTTCTTGCCGCCTCATTTACCTGCAACAGAGACGGCTATTTATGTCCATCTGTCGGCAGCCTGACCTGAATGTGACGTAAGCCGCTCACTATGGGTGGAGAAACATAAAATCACAAAACCAAAGGCTCATGTGGACTCCATCCAGGCCTGTAGATGAATGATAACCATGGAAACTTTTTAAACGTAATTTCATTTTTGGGTGGCAGCCTGGAAATGAGCCTATTATTATTTTTTCATTCTTTCAAATAGCATGCTGAAATGCTGGGTGAAACATCTGAAACGACAGGCAGATATAATATTGATGCATCTTTTAAACAACAGTTTTGTCTCGTAGTGCAGGGAGATCAATATGTTAACTCCCTCCCATACTACACTGGTATCATTCAGGACAGTGCCGTCACAAAGCAGACATATTTGATAGATGTTCATTATAATGAACACGCTACAGGAAAAAGAGAAAAGCTGGTCTCAGTCGCCGCCTGTTGGAGCAGAAAAACAGACTCCCAACATGATTGAACAAAATACTCGACACGTCCGTTTCATTTTCATAATTTTAGATTTCAAAACGAATCTGCAAACACACTCAATCCACATCTCTTACACACCCAATCCACATCCCTTGTAGGATTGCGTTGAGATATTTATGACAATCATGATCTCTCCGTGTTTCTTCCCTCCTGAGTTCCATAAGGCACAAAATAAACATCAACCTAATACACAGGGCCAAAGGAAAGACACCAACACCGCAGTGAGATCAGCTTAAACGTACCTCTATCGTCATCTAGCGGACAGTCTGTGATGGCCATGTGTGTCCGTTTCGCTATTATCTTTACAGCTACTTTACATTCACCTGATGAATCTGGAGTTTAAACCTGTTAAATACGAGCATCGTTTAGGAAATAAATTAAGTTTTATTTTTTTGTCCCTTCTTGTCTCAGTTATGAGAAGTCATGTGTCTGGACAGGTGGTGTCGCTCCCGGAAGTATTCGTGGCAGATCGGGCAGGTGAGTTTCTCCTCCCTCCTCCTCCTCACGTGGGACTCCGCCGCGAACTCCTTCTTGTGATGAGAGCGCATGTGGAAAACGAGGTCGGAGGTCATGCGGAAAGACAGGTTGCATTTGGCGCACCAGTTCTGCACCGACACGCCGAATGAGGTGAACGTCGGGGGAAGGATGGTGAGAGAAGATGCGGTCTGCAACTGGACGCCAATGCTCCTGGACCAGTGCTCCGGTGCGTAATGGAAAGCATTGTTTAATGCAACCGGGGAGGGTACAGCACGTAAGTCACTGCTCAGGATGTTGGATGCCATCAGATTGCTGTATCCCATAACAGTCCTGGAGGTGAATGAATCAGTCATGTCCTCTAGGCGGCTAGAGGGGGCTGTTGAAGCACTGCTGAGATGCGCCTGGGGGTCAATAGGGGACGTTATTTTACTTGGTTTACAGAAAGCGCTTTTCTGCTCGCGCTGATTGTTGGACAGGACCAGAGAAAATGCACTGCTGCTGCTTCTTGAGTGCAAACTAGAGCTCTCGCCTGTTTCCATCTCTCTGTCGTGCGTAAAGCTATCGGTCTTACATCCCAAATGATCCGGTTTAATCTTATCAACTTTCAGTTTCCCCGCAGAGGAGGATGCATTTCCTGCTGACTGGTCGTAGTCCTTAATCAGCGGTGTAATATTGTCATCATTTGAAATGTTAGTTTTTTCCAACAGAACCGTTTTCCGCACTTTGGGATAGAGAGTTTCCTCGTATTTCCTTCTCTTGGGGTAAATCTCTGCATCCTCGTTGCTGCCAGATTTTTTGTGTTCCAAATCTCTGGCGATGTTGTGGAAATCTGTCACTCGGTGTTGCCTCTTGATTTCCACGTGCTTGTGCTCGTAAATCTCGCGGCTCCAGGTGTCAGTCTGAGTACACAGGAATCGGCAGTGAGCCAAGAAAGGATACTCGTTCTCAAAAACCTGGTTACATCTTCCACATTTGAACTCTGAAAAAGACACACACAAAAATGATGTAACTATACAGATAAACCCATAACATATACACTTTCATTTAAATTTGCATCCTCCCAGAAGTCGAACATTATGGCTCATTCTGCTATAAAATACTCAATCTGATGCTTTATTTTTATTTGGGTGTAGAGGGGCTTTAATTTAATTGAAGCTCAAGTCTAGCCAATGCACACAAGGCCAGCCAGTACTCACCTTCCCTTGATCCTCTGGTCAGGTCTGTGAAGCCCAGTAGGTGTGACAGCTCCTGGTCGTACCACACCAGCAGCTCTTCCTCCTGCCGGATTTCCCGGATGGTTCGCACATACAGCTGACCCGCTTTCAGAAAGGCCTCTGTGTTCTGTTCCTCTGCATTGCGCGCAGCCTGCACGAGCCGCAGCCAGGACATCACCAGCGCAGAATTACGCATGGCCTCGGGGTCCACCTGTTGACAGACATCATTGACATTTTACTCGAGCTCCCTGATTTAAATCCATCTTTCCTACAAACTTGGAATTCCTAAAAAAATCATTAATAATTACAAATAATAATTATTATTAAATCCACGTTTCTAGATCCCTTTGACATAATACCCAACACAGCAGATTCATGAAAAAACAATACAATGCAGATGGACAGCATACAAATATAGTCATTTAAAAAAAGAACAAGGGACTTGAAATGTGTAAATTCAGTTCAAATTAAAACATGAAATAAACAAATCTAGTTCAATGGTCATGAATTCACCAGCCCGGTTATATTATAACTAACTAAAGCAAAGCTGTTTTAACATGCCATAATATAAATTCAAATGTCCATTGCATGACAACTGACCACAAAATCTCTGCAACTCACCCTGAACACGTATGATTTAGCTCTCTTATCGCAGGATTTCTGCGCTATGAAGGCGATGGTCTCGTAGAAGGTGTTTTGGAGCACGCATGGACCAAAGCACGTGCCTGCAGGGATGCTGCGCGTAACGAGCACACTGGTGTAGAGGTCCGCTGGATGCTGGAGGAATTTGCTGTCACCGGTCCAAATGGACCGAGGCAGGAAAGTGTGATCCATCGTTAAACTGTGATCAAATATAACGGTTATCATTAGTTACAGAGCAGGTGGCAATATGTTACAAACTCTTTTATTACAAGACGAAGATACAATCACGAGGCCAATCTAGTCTTTAATATATTCGGGCTCAAATCATGAGAACTGTAAAAACGAATTCCCATTTTAATAATTCGTTTTACAGAAGCTAAATAGCGAACAACTGGGCTATGACATACAATATATGTTGTAGTGGTCTGACATCCCGTTAGCCGATTTGGATTCAGATGCTCTGAACCCACTCTGGATTGTCTTGCAAGCAATATTAGAAGAAAAAAATAAGTACACTATTTTATGGATTTTCTGATTAAATTAAGCGTCCCAATTGTGAAGCAGACGCAGCCGGTGTCGAGACAAAATTATTTCTAACGTCCTTTGTCTCAGTTTTTCACTCGGTTTCTCCTTTTGTCTCCCCATCTGCCGTGAAGCCCAACTGCCTCCTCTGTGCGCAAGATAAGTTCAAAATGCTTATTCCTAATTTATCAACAATTTGAACGCAGGAAGATTGTGTGACTATTGATTTTTTTCCTTCTCTGGTCAATAATCTTTCGGGTGTTTTGTTTCCTTGACAGTTGACCGCACAGCATCATAACAGAATAATCTGGTGGCAATCTCAATATGCCAGTCTTCCTGGTAAAGAATAATGACATATGAGAGAAAGATCGTGTACCCCTGTGAAGAAAACAGAGAAGTGCATTCATAGTGTCGCGTGACTCACCCGCTGGACATGAGGAGGATGTTTGTGCCGTGTGGCAGCAAGTTGCAGCAGGTGCAGTGGACCTCGGTGACGATGCCCTCCCGTTTCTTGGTGACGAGCTACTTATCCGACTGGATCTTCCTCCGTACTGTGGTCCCTCTCCTCGCCCACTCCCACTTATTCCCTTCAGAGAGCGCGCTGAAGCGTGGCGCATTGATATAAACACGCGCGCTCACGCACACACATAGACGCGCGTACACAGGACTTGAATTTAGTCCCTTGGCAAATTCCCCCATGTCTGATTTGCAATCCTTTCAGTGAACAAGAGAGACATGCCCGCCAGTGAGGAAATACTGTGATAATGTGAGCAATAATGCACATTATAGGGTGTTTATCGTCCAGTGCAGCTGACTGATGTGGACATACGCACCACTATGAACAACACCTTTTAGACAGTGTGAAACGTTTTAAATATGATGTTCCCTGTGCCTTTACTGTGAATAAATTGGACAGTTTGAGTTATACCTTTCCTGAAACCATGAATTTAGAAGGACCACATCCTGCGGAACAAGACCTCACAAGCTTGTCCAGCCATGTAGTCGGATAGAAATCCTAAAATGTTCATGAAGCTATATTCTGACATCTTATTGTCTCTCGTGGTTTTAAAAAGTCCCTCCACTAACTGTGCTTTGTGCAACAGATATTCAGAATGTAGTCTGGACACGCTATTGGGGATTTAGAGACATTTGTTGGTCACGTTTCTGAGAGTTACACGAGTGGTAGAAGTTGTCCTGCTAATGTGGGCAATTGTAAATTGCAAAATTGGCCACATGACATGCGGATGGTGGTCTGTGTTTGCCATCGGGCAAATACATTATTCATAAACTAAATGTTTCTGTTTAATGAGCATTTAATGAATTATTCTGCATCAAAGCTAAATGTCCTCGTCGTTATCGAGCCAACTTTCTGTAATGAGAAAGCGGGAACACATAAAAACCTTCGCTGGGAATTAAGCTCCTCGGGCACACTCCTGGTTACAGTGCAATCACACAATAGGCTGGGGAATATTTTTTATTTTATGTCACATAACATTACGCAAAATGTTAGTAGCCTACCAGATTACATTGTGTTGAGGAAGTTTGATGACAAGCACAGGACCACTTTGAAAACCTTTCAGCATCACATCCTGTCACGGGTCGATCGGCATTCAGGCCCATATTTGAATTGTCTTTGCGGTTCCCCTGTTTTTCATTTGAAGGCGAAATGCCTGAGACGGTAAACACAGGCAAATTCCAAGGTACAGAAAAATAACAAATTATTGTTTATTCAAAACGAGATTTTATTAGTATATTACATCATTGACAGTACTAAAACGGCCTACTTATTTAATTTGAAAATTCAAAATAATATTAAGTAACTATAACCCAAACAATATTAAGGAGAAACATTTCCTCAAAGGAAGTAAACATCATTTTAATTAATCGTGTAATATGTGTGATTTCTGGTCCTTTAATGGTTAATGGACAAACAAAAGTTCATAGATAGAGTCATTAGAGGGCTTGTTTTTTCCCATTCTCAAAGTTATTTTGGGTAATCCCACCCCAGACAGATATCTCACTATTCTTTCTCTGTGTAAAAGTGGAGTTTTGTATCTCTCCTCGGGTGTCGCTCCTCTCCTTCATGCTGCCTGCTTCAGTGCATTTTTTTTTCTCAGCTGAAACGGAAGACTTGGAGAGCCCGGCTTAAAGTGAACAAGGCTCCTGTAGTCTGAATGCACTCAGCGTAACGGGACGAAACACCGGGGAAAATCGCGTTATACACACGTGCAGTCGATCCAGAAACAGACGATTGAGAGAAAATGTGAAGATCTTTAGTTGTCACAGTGTTGGGGCAGTCAACAGAAACCGGGAAAGATGGCGAGGACACAGACTCGCATGTTCCTCGCCTTGGCTTTGCTGGGAATTTTCCTCCTCGATGTGTCGGTGAAAGGAGAGCTACAGGGAGAGCAACAGGAGGAGGAGGAGGAGAGGTCCTGTCAAGGCGCCTTCGACCTCTATTTTGTCCTGGACAAGTGAGTGTCCGATATTATTTACGGCTTTGTTACTTTCTCATCGCTGCGCATTGCCATGCAACCACCCAGTTGTTTGGAAACGCGGAGCGCATCAGCCAGATTCCGTCTGTTGTTGTAACTGTGCTAAAGAAAAGCAAACTACAAGTTTGCGCGTGTACATTCGGTAGTCATGCTTTTATCAATTGGCTTTTTGTTTCACACAATAAGTCCTAAATAAGATAGCGGTTTCTTGTTTCGTGGAATGACTATTACACGAAGGGCACGTCCAAAACCATTTTAACCCTCGTTGTTTATCTTTAAGTGTCTTCTCGTACATATACACGGCATTGTATTTGAAGTAGGAAGACTATTTTGGACGTTGGGGCATGCTTTTCTTTTCTTTTAGTCCAGTTCAAAGTGGAGAGGCACACAGATTGAGCTTTTACTCACGGGATGTGGGCAGGGCGAGCAGGATGGATAGAGTTTCAGGCTGATGACGCCTGCGGACACAGCTGCAGCAGCTGCCCCACAGCGGTGCTATGTGGCCTGGTGATCCTTTAACTATTCTTCTCTGCTGTATCCTGAACGGGCCATGTAGTGACCAGGGGCAGGATCCATTCTTTGTTGTTTTTCTGCAGGGAGTTAAGAGTTCTTACATATGATCAGGTTGATGTTAAAACATGTATGTTGGCACCACCTTCTAGGACATGTTTTAAAGGTTGTAACTATGAAGTTAATACCTTAGTACGTTATTTATTATTGCTTCATCTGTAAGAACAACATCTGGCTTGCTAAGTTATGATGAATCCCTCTGGATAGTGTGTATCCTCCAGCTTTGCTTTGTCTTTTTAACCAGCTTTTCTATTTCACAGAACATCTCATATCTATTTTACAATTACAATTTGAACCCCTTTTTGAAGTGTACCTCATAAAATATGCTGTATATGAAAGTGGTACTACATCTTTAGAAACGTAACCCTACTCTTAATTCGTTTTTTTTCAAGTATTTGTTGGCTTGTTTGTCTTCATTTGATAGAAGTCAGTAGAGGGCTGACAGGAAATGAGGATTGAGAGAGAGATGATGAAAAAGATCCCCAGCCTGATTTGGATCAGATCAGTTTTTGAATATCTTTATGTCATTTTGAACATGTTTAACACCTGGAACTAAATATCCCATTTCAATGAGGATGTTTTTGCCACCTTTTTGGTCTGTGTAAGCCTGACTATTCTAGTGATCTCTACATGTGATCTCGCTGCAGTTTCAGACTGCGCTGCTGTTCATAGCTGCTCAGACATAACTGACTTTTTTTTTTCGTCTCTTGGCTCGAGTTGCAAGGTGCCATCAAGCTTGTGAACACAACAACCAGACATGCCAAAACATGCTGTGGGCAGAGAGAGAGAGAGAGAGAGAGAGAGAGAGAGAGAGAGAGAGAGAGAGGATGATAACAAACAAACAAGGTATGGCTGAATATGTTGCCCTATTTGTGTAGAAGAATACAGGTTATGATATCAAGAATGACTAGCAGTGATTTAGCGGTGAAGCACATTGTACACAGAACACCGGTATCTGTGTACAACATTTGGGAATATGGAGATGTAATGGTTTAAAAAAACAACCTATGTGCACCACCTAACTGGACATGTTGACGTGACATTTTACTTTGCTTATGACAAATTTGATGATCTTTCGGATGTCCACTGCAAACATCCGTCAGACCCTCTTCAGTCTTTACCCTTTGCTTCAAAAAGTTTCTGAGGAGCCCGGGGAGCATGGCACATCACGCATGGCCAAGCCTCTGGTACGACTCCGTCTGTCTGACTGTCTGGACCTGCATGCTTCAGCAAGCCTCCAGGAAGCTTGTTGGCTGTTTTTCACATCTTAAATGCCACACAGTGACCTAATCTAATCTTCAGTGATAGAGAACGAAGAGAAATCATGCATTACGGATGCTTCTACGTGTCTACACTGATCTTCACCTCTTCACTGTCCAGAAGGTTATGAGGCATGCTGGTGTATAGAGAATGTGTGCGTGCTCCGCTGGACGCATCTCAGCACACAGAAAAAACATTAGAAAACATTCCTACACTCCACGTCTGACCCACACCAAATACCAGGCTGCATTCTTCCTCTCTATCTGGTTGCCCGCAAATAGAATAATAGGTGTTGTGTTTTATGGCTGGGTTCTGAACAGAGATTTATTTTCACTGATCCAAGTACTTGACAAAAGGAGATCCTGCTCTAATGCAAAATTCTTTGAATTCATAGTACATTTACTTTCTCAATGCAGTTTTTAAAAGCAATTAAACTCCCTCATACAGTGTCTGGGGGGATTGTTCATGCGTGAAATCTCTCAATTATTCTTTTCTGATTAATTGAATAACATTTCATTCCAAAAAAATATCAGAAAATAATGAAAAATGCACAGGGCAACATCTCCAAATTGCAATTAATTAACCAATTATTTCCGCACATTGGACTAATTATGCTATTAAGGTCAACCCCCTCCTCAGTCATGTATTCACATATAGCCCCTCACTCTGATTGATGAAAAGAATACTTAGAAAATGTTTAACTTTAGCTGACAGACACTTTCTGTCCTGCACACTGGATTTAAACTGAACCTCGGTTGTGTGTGTATCAATAAACTGAGATTTAGACAAGATAAAAGAGACTCCTCCTGGATCAGGGCTGGTATCATGCCCTCCCTTCCAGGGAAAAGGATAAGTGGAGCAGGAAGCGACTGGTGAAATAGGAGGAACAAAAGAGCCATCGTGAGTCTAAGCAGCTCAGACCTTCACTCTTTGTTCTCTGTATCTCTCTTTATATTTCACTTTATGACCCTGTTACACACACACATAGCCCTTTCTTTTGCTGTTTGAAGTTTCATCCTTCAATAGACACTCACCATATACAGCCTGACACACACACACACACACACACACATTTACCCCTACTGAGTGTTACTTCTGCATCCCTCTGTTGTTCATCTTGCAGCCTTTTCACTCTGCAGACCGCCAACCTGTTGTCAAACTGCCTGTGCTCACTGGGACCATCTGTTCCCCCTCACAGTCACACACACACACATAAACACAGAGATACTATATACACACACGGACACACAGGCCAGCTGCCTGCTACATGGTCCCTGCTAGAGGCAGCCTGCT